ATATAATACTTTGGAAGCCCAGAAGATTAGTCAGTGCTGACAGAGTCCCACTAACCGTATCTTTATAGATATTCCTGGAATACAAACTACAATACCATGCTGGCTCTACCACCAAAATCTAAGCGCTACTCAACACCTCTTCTTTTACGTCCTCATCTCTCAACTAGATTTCTGCAATGACCTCAACAGGTCTCCCAATATTGACCCCCACAGCCTATTTTTAACAAAACATCCAGAGGTATCTTTTAAGAACGCAATTCAGAACATGGTCTACCCCAGTTCAAAATTGTCCTAAGTCTCACCCCATTTCTTTTAAAATAAAAACCAATGTTTTTAGTAATGTCACACAAGATCCTCCAACAAGTGGCTCCCCATTATCTCTCTGACTTCAATGTGTACTACTTTGCTCATTTCTACACTTAATTCTTTCTCATTCCTCTAATACGACAGGTATAGTCCTACCTTAGGATCTTTACAATGACATTCCTTCTGCCTAGAACATTCCTCTCTAAGGTATCCAAATGGCTGATTCTCCCACCTCTTTTAAACTATCGCTTAATGATCACCTTTTCAGAGGCTGAACATAACCACCCTATCTGAAATTAGAACTCCTTCACTGCTCCTCACAACTCTCTTTCTCTGTCTTGGTTTTATTACCCTGTAGTATGTCAACTTTCTGACTTCTTTACCATGTTTATTGTCTATTCTTTACTCCATTCCAACTTCTTTAACCAGAATATAAGGTCCAAAAAGGTGGGAAATTCATTTAGATTTTGAGTACCCCTCAGACCTAGAACAATGCTTGACACCATAGATTCTCAATATATACTTGATGATATTATATGTAAAACTTCAATCAGAATTAGGCAGTAGGAAAGGGACTATCCTACTTCTACAATGCCTTAGAAGATTTAATTCACATTTCTAGACAAAAACTATAACTTTTCAAAAGAAAACAAAGTTAACACAACTCAAATAGCCTACCGAACATGAATACGTTTCAGTAAGGTATAGTTTTATACATATATGTGTACTATGTAGTTAGGCCTAGTGTTGTGGTTAAGATTAACTGTCAACCTGACTGGCTTGGGAGCTGCTGGGGGTATGAGTAAAACATATTACTGGGTGTATGCACGTGGGTCACAGAGGTGTGACCTTGAGTACTGTATATGGCCCCTCACCCTTTTTCTCTAGTGCTGTTCTTGCTCTGTGCTCCCTGGCTGTCATGTACTAAATACCTGTCTTCCACCAGCACCTTTCAGTATGATATTCCTGCCATGGAGTCAGTTGACTCTGGACTGAAAAAACTCTGAAACTGTGAGCCAAATTAAATCTCTTCTAAGTTGTAGGTGCCAAGTATTGCAGTCTAGTGATGAAAGGCTAATGCACCTAGGATCTGTGCTTAATTAACATTTACCTACTTTTTTGTCATTACTCTCTAAACAGTGTTGTTAATAACTAATTACATAACATTTAGTGTATTAGATATAAGTAATCTAGAGATATTTTCAAGTGTATAGGAGATGTGTATAGGTTACATGCCAATATTACAGTATTTTTATAAGAGGCTTGAGCATCAGAATGTGGGTATCCTGGGGAGTAGGGATGTCCTGGAATAAGGACAGAAGACTATGTTAACAGCAATGTTTTCTTTACTCTCTTAAAAGTATCCCAATATGATCCAGGCATATCTGTAATCCCAGCTACTTGGGAGACTGAGCTAAAAGGATCACAAGTTTGAGTCTGGCCTGGGCAACTTAGTGAGAACCTATTTCAAAATAAAATTTAAAAAGGACTGGGGATGCAGCTCCATAGCAGAGCACTTGTGTAGCATGCACTTGAGTCCCTGGCTTCAATCCCCAGTACAACAGAAAAGGGGAAAAATGTGGCCCAGCTTGGAAAAAATGTAAGGTCAACCTTCCAATATGGCTTTGCATGACATGGCTTCTACTTGTATCTCCAGGGTTAATCTGCTACTGTGACCTTTCCTGTCCCCAACCCCATCCTATGCCTATAACAAACTACTTCTTGTTTTCCAAATGGCTATATGTATGGCTTTTTCTGTTTCTAGGCATATATTCATGTTTACTTTGCCTGGAATACTCCTCCCTTTTTGCCTGGAAAACTGCTGATTTTTCTTTAGGATTCAATTAAGAAGTTATCCCCTCTATGTGGCCTTTTCTGGAAGCCCAAGTCCAGGTTACATGTGCCCTATTGGTATATGACCCACCAACTGTATCTCCAACTAGACTGCAAGACAAGTTCTCTACTTTGTTCACTCATATCTTAAACCTAACACAAAGTAGACAATTAAAAGGAGTAATGAAGCTGGAGATTGTGGCTCAAGCCTTAGGAAGTTAAGGCAGGAGGACTGCCAAGAATTCAAGGCTAGTCTGGGCTACCTAATGAATTCAGAGCAGTCCAAACTACATAGTGAAACTTTGTCTCAAAAAAAGAAGAGATGAATAACTATAATGACATTCCAGGAATAAAGAGCAAGTACAAAGACACAGAGATGGCAAAACACTGTTCTTTGTGGGGAGGGGGGATCAATGAATTCACTAGAACTGCAGCTGACGGGGCATGAGGGAGTTATGGAGAGAGGAGGCAGCTAAGGTCAAGGTAGGAGCCAATTCATGAAATCCCCAGATGCCAGGGAAAGGAATTTGAGATTTAAATTAAGGATATAGGAGATCACAAAATAATTTAACAAGGCAAATGTCATGACCAGACTTGTAATTCACATTATTCTATATAATACAAATGGAGGTTGGCATAATTAGGAAGCTACAGACTATCTGGGTTACAAATTCTCAAAAAAAACTGCAAAAACCTAAAATAAAGAAGTAACAGGAGAATAATCTAGGAGATAAACTGGCACTGCTTACAGAATTTAGTCTTTCTCGAGTCTGATTCTCCAAACTTTTCCAAACTCCTTCTATAAAACATTTCCAAAGGCTTCTGAACCACATGGTCAGTACAGTGAAAACAGTGACCCCAGCCTTAGTACTACTTTTTTATATTGGGCTACTTGATATCACTAGAACGAAACACCAGACACACACAATTTAAGAGAGGTAGGCCTTTTTTTTTTCTTGGATCACAATTTCAAAGGCTTCAGTCTGTGGTTGGCTGGCTCTGAGACAGAAAGATCGTGGTTGAGGGGCATAGAAGAGGAAACTTTTTCACCTCAAGGTGGCCAGAAGCACAAAGTGAGAGCCTGAGCAAGAGATACACCTCCAAAGGCACACTTCCTCCTACCAGGCCCATCTCCTAACAGCTCATTTAGTTATGAATTCATCAGTGGGTTAATCCACTGATGAAAATAGCACTCAGGATCCAGGCACCTTCCAAAAGTCCTACTTCTGAACAAATGCAACTTTTAGTGAACACGTATGATCAAACCATAACAACTTGAAAGTCAAGAATAGTATTTATATCTTCACCCACCTTTTTATCCCCCAGAAACTGACAGGCAGATCTGGCAGCAGCCAACAAAAGCTTAGAGTTTCCTAATTTTTAAATTTTTTTTTGGTACTGGAATTGCACTTTCAAGGCAGGCGGTGGAACCACGAGGCTAAATCCCCGGCCCTTTTAATTTTGTTTTTGAGACAGGGTATCACTATGTACTTCAGGCTGGCCTCAAACATATGGTGATTCTTCTGTCTCTGCACCTTTGGTGCTGGAATTATAGGTGTATACTTCCATGCTGGAAGTTTCCTAATTTTGGTGTTCTCTTGTGGTGCAATTTCACTGCACTGGCAAGGAAACATCAGGCCCTCAGCGCTTTGTCTCATGGAGTTTGACAACTGAGAACTGGCACTAAGATATGTTATGAGTAATAACAGGTCTTTTCTCTGATCCAAAGACATCAGGCTTCTTATCAGAATCACTCTCTCTCCCTTTCTCTCTCTCAATTAATTTTTACAACTCACACTAACTCCAAAGATGCAAGCCTTTTGACACCTACTTCCACAAGCAAATTTAAGGCCCTTTGAAAGGTAAAATGCTGTATGCATTGTATAATGTAGGCAAAACAAAGCTACCATTTTAATTAGGTTACTATCTTTTTTTTTTTTGTCAGGGGCTCACTATGTAGTTGAGACTGACCTGGAACTCACTATGTAGCCCAGGCTGGTTCAAACTCACAACAATCCTCCCGCCTCAGCCTCCCAAGTGCTGGAATTACAGGCGTGCACCACCATACCTGGCTTAAGTTACTATCTTTTTAAAATGTGTCACAACAAAGTTTTTGTGCAACAATTTTTGTGCTGCATAGTATTTTTAAAGGAATGCATACACTGTGTTATAACTGACTACAGTCTGCTAAAATGTATGGTATAAAAATAAGGACAATGACATGTACAGTAGAAGCTTAAGCAGTAAAAAAACAAAGTGTTGTGAATTATATGTAGATTTACTCATAATAACTCTATCTCCAATTACTCGGAAAACTGGAAGTTGACCACATTACTATATTCCTTTCTCTATGCTTACTGAAATTGGTAGCACAGTTTTTGAAGAATGCTTTCCTTTATATCAGAATGTAATTATTTTCATGAATATAAAATTTGATAAAATCCACAAAAAAATACTTCACCATTAGAAATTAAACTTTCATCTTTATCACTGACATCCTCTGGAATCTCATGCTTCTGAAGAGAAAAATCAGATGAATTTTTATGCTTTTGAAAACTAAAATCAAGTTTCTTTTGAGGTATCCCGCTTTCCATTTTCATTTTGCTAAGAATTTCCTCTTCATAGTTTTTTATGTTTCTGTTTGATGAATATACAATCCTAAAAGACAAAATATAAAACATTAATTAAAATAATGATTCTTAAAGAAAAAGAAAGCTAGTTTCCCCAATGTCCTGTTTTCATATGTGACATATTATACATATAAAATATATCATTCATATATAAAACTATTTCAAAACCTTTTAAATCTGAAATATAGGAAAGTCAAATGAAAACTATACATCTTGAAAAGCAGTAGATAATTTTTTTAAAAACATCAAACTAATATATAATGTCAAAAAATCAGATAACCAAAATGACAAGGTGAATTTCCAGAATGACACAAATTTCCAAACCTGACTCAGGAAAAAGGAGAATATCTGAGTAGACCTTTAACAAATTAAATTTAATAAAAAACTTCACACACACACACACACACACACACACAAAGAACAGATGGTTTCATTGGTAAGTTCTAAAAAAATTAAATTAACACCAATCCTTCACTAACTTTTCCAAAAAAGTAGAAGTTGGAAAATTTTCAGGTTCATTCTCTAATGCCTGCATTAAGGACACAAATGAAGGCAAAGACCTTACCAGAAAAGCAAAAACAGATCAATATTCTTTATTAATACAAATGAAACAATCTTCAACAAAATAACAGTAAACGGAATCCAGCAATATATAAAAAGAATTACACACCATGACCAACTGGAATTCAGCTCAGGAATTCAGAAGTTTCTTAAATATAAGAAAATCAATGTTGTATATCATATCAATAGAATAAAGGACAAAACCACATGGTAGAACTAACAGCACCAAGTGCCTACTTAAGGTTCAGTCATGAATTTAAGGTGAAAATGATTAGTACGGCTGCATGTTTTTTCCAGCCACATTCAGCCGTGTGGATGCAGGAATGGAGGAGCCAAAAAGTTGTATATAAGATATGGGGTTTTAACATGTAAATAAAACCAATTCAAAAGAGACAAGGGAGCTATGTGCAAAAGGAATTTAAGTTGAGTAAGGAGGGAAATGAAGACATAAGAAAATAAGAGACTATTAAAATGTGGTAAGATACAGTAAGCCTGGGTCCTGATGGAGTTGCATGCTGTGGTTGGATGTGGTCTGTCCTCACCAAAACACATACTGACGTTTGATTCTCAATGCAGCAGTGTTAGGAGATAGGATATCCTAACTAGGTCATGGGGCATTGCTTTTATAAACAGATTCATGTCTTTCCCCACAAAGTGGATCAGCTCTTGGGGAATAAATTAGTTTTCATTCAAGGGTTATAAAAGAACAGGCCAGCCCCACTTTCCCATTCATCACTCTCACGCTCATGCTTTTCCTTACTGGTGCTCAACTCTCTTCACTGTTCCTCCACAAGGCCCTCATTAGCAGTAACACAGATGCCAACACAGTGCTCTTGGGCTTCTAGAACCAAGAGCCAAATAAACCTCTTTTATTTCCAAATTACCCCGTCCTGGGTATTATGTTAAAGCAAGAAAAACTGGGCTAAGATAATGACTTATTACATTTAGAGTCTTACAAGGAATAAACTAGATAGATAAAAATTAGAGTAAGATGCTTAGAATTGATGCAATTATTGGCAATGACATGAGATAGGATTTGAAGTCCTGAGTAACTGAGATATACAAATTCAAATTGACATGGCTATCTTGAGTCATAGCTACCATGATTTCCCCAGAATAACCCTGGGCAGTCTTTCTTCCATAATTTCCCAGAAAACTATAAACAGACTAAATTATTACAGTGGTATGCGGAGCTTTACAACAACACCCTGAGTCCAGGGATTTATCTGGCTCTTTCATATTATCTTAAGATAAATGAGTGTATCTCCACTAGGACACGTCATTTTCCCCCTCCCCTACAAATCTACCCCTCCTTCTGATCCAAATTAAAAGGATCCAACTGGTTTCATGGCCACCAAGGACAATGTTTCTCTCAGGAAGTCCCCAAATAACCTGTAATCTGTCTGCCTCCCTTTTTGGTCTCACAGTATCTTGGGGTCATTCTTCATACAATAGGACTGGTTTGCTCTGGAACTTGAAGAAAGGTTAAAAACATGATAAATGGAAGACAGCAATTGAAGGGATGGAGAATTCAAGTTATTGGAACCATCTCCTATGTAGCAACTGAAATTACCAAAAATTATGTTACTAGACAAACTGACCATGGCTGTTAGTAGTTAAAATCTTTGAGGACTCTCAATCTTGGTGGTCTGTGAATGATCATCCAGTAGTAAGGACTAGGAAGAAGAGATTTAAAGACAGAGCTTTGGAAAAGGGGAAAGAGGCAGCTGTGACATTCACAAGTGTTTGGATTTTGGTTTTGTTCAGGTATGGTGAGGCCAACAGATCAAGAGATCATTGATACTGAAAACATAATTGGTTTTTACAACTTGCAAAAGGAAGGGGCATACCATGTTACACAAAATCACATGCAGAAGCAACAGTCAAAAGGCAGGAGGAGGGAAAAGCCTAGCATGGTGGTGCATGCCTGTAATCCCAGCACTTAGAAGAGGCTGACACAGGAGGATGACCGGGAATTCAAGGCCAGCCTGGACTACAAAGTTCAAGGCTAGCCTAAACTACACAGTGACTAGAATTAATATGTTCCCACTGGCTTGAACCTTCAGTAGTACATGCACAACTATCCCACTGGGCAGCTTGTGCTACTCAATGGGATTGTCCCATGCTGCTGGATGGACCAGTCACGCATGTACTACCAGTGCTTCAGAGTCGCCCAGCTATGAGACATACTGATTATGGCCCCATCGTGAATGTGTTAATTAGTCTGAATAATATCGGCAGGCTCTGGCTATAGAGGCAATCTCTTATTGTCTGGTACCTAGCCCTGGGATGATTAGGGTAGAGAAATAGGGCCCCCTGGAGTACAAGAAACAAATGGAGGAGGTGGGTGTATGGGTGGATATATGTACTTGATCGGTTAGCTTGCATATCAGATGTATATTTCCAGGCAAGTCAATTACTATCTCTAGGATTTAGCTAACCTTTGGAGGGGCAGATTTTCCCCATTCAGTCAGACCCAGATACATAGAACAAGGATACATAGCTACAGCTGGGTATGGGAGCACATGCCTGTAGTCTAGCTTACTAGAGAGGCTAAACTGGGAGGGTCATTTGAGCCCAAGAGTTTGTGTCTAGCCTAGACAATATAGTGAGACTGTGTCTCAAAATATAAAATCAAATAAATATAATCAAGTTGAAGGTGTAACTTAGCATGTCCTAGGTTCTATCCAATTACCATTACCAAAACAACAATGCCTCAAAAAAAGCCCAAAACAAAAAAATGTATAGTTTATACCAGGAAGACATCTATCCTATTTCCAGCCATAATAATAAGATGCATCAAACAAAATAAGTAGCACCTAAGATAGTTCTTCTGTGCTGTTTTATATGTTAATCTGACACGTTGTTCTAGCATCTCCCAGTTGTCCTTGTTGAACTTAAAATTTCAAGGTCCTCCCTCTTTTCTTTCCCTCTCACACATACACATGCTCCCAAAATAACAACAATGGTAAGTCTTCTTGGGAAATCAATGATTTTATGATCATCAGTTGAATTTTAATCATGAGGTTAAAAAAATAAATACTACTTTCCACTGACCCTTGAGGAATATCTGAAGTCATCTCACATAAAACAACTTTTCAAAACTATATTTCATACCCTAACTCAAGTGCACAAAAAGACTTGCAGAATAAGCAACAACATAAAAGAATATTTCAGAATTTTTATCAATTATCTAAAAAGAAAGAATGTGAATTGAAGAGAGTTATAAAGGACTGAATTTCACACAAAAATTCAATAATCTATTTCATCAGGATTTTTATTCTAAAAATGTATTATCAGTGTTTTCCATTATAGCACTGTCCTTATGTACTGTTTTAATGCTGACAAATTTCAATCAATCTACCAAAAAAGGGCAGTACATCACAAATATTTTTATGTGCAAGATGCTAGATGAGATATCATTTGGTATGAGACAAACTAATCTTAAGGAGTTTGTATAACCATAGATATACAGGACTAACCTAATACAAAATAATATGTAATTAAGTACTTAAAATACAGCAATGTGAATTACTATGGCATACAAAGCTAGCTGCTCCAACTTTTTTGTTCTAAATTATAAAACTGAAACTCCTAGAAATCATAAAACAAGATCATGCATAGCTAGAAGAGACAACAGAATTATTTTTAACTCAAACTTTCCCTCATTATTTTTAATAACAAATAAAGGATGACATTATTTCTTCCTTTCTCTAATATATAAAATTCTGACCCATCACTAAGATCTTTTAAACATATGCTCAACAGCTACAGAAATGTATAATTTCATAATGTTTTAATACCATGAATAACATTTATTGAAATCTGTTTAGTGCCTACTATATGCCAGGCCATTGTGCAGTGTGTTTCACAACCATTTTGTTTAAACTTTGCAACAACTCTATGAGGTAGGTATTATGCCCATTTTTCAGATAAGGAAACTAATGGTAAGTGATTACTACAATTTTACATAGTAAGAAATGGTAAATCTGCCTTGAGTTCAAAGCCTGCTCTGTTTTGTTGTTGCTATTATGTATTTTTGGTTTGGTTTGCAGCACTGAAGATTGAACCCAAGATCTTTGCCCTGAGCTATATTCCCAGACTCTTTATTTTATTTTTTATTTTGAGACAGCATCTCACTAAGTTACTAAATTGCACAGGTTGAAACTTGCAATCTTCCTGACTCAGCCTCCCAGACTGCTGGAATTATAGGTGTACCTGTTCCTGCAACAATTCCACTATACCACCTACTAGGGAAAAAAGGAATACATTTTAAAATTAATACTTGGAACTCAATGATAGACCTATGATCTGTACTGGAAAATACAACCTTTCTAAATCATACTTAAAATCTGTTTAAATTATCGTATATGATACTATTCTAATAAACAAGAAAAGCCAAGATTAGGTAATATTCTGATTTTTGTATTTATGTTTATAGAAACTTGACAAAAGAAACACAAATAAGGAAAAAAAGGATCACTGCATCAATTGTTAGAGCAGCCAAACTATACAAATATTCCTAAATTTAATTATGTAAAGGTAGTTTTCTACATACACTAATGTCAACATGATTCTTTCTACAGGAAAGAAGCATGTCACAACTAAATGACTGTCATCTAAGAAAACACCTAAGATCCATGATATAAAAGCATAAAATCCAACTTGGATTTAAATGTCAAAAATGACCATTGGCACTGGCATAACAACAGACATATAGACAAATGGAATAGAATTAAAAGACCAGACTGTACACTCTTACACTTAAGTGTATATTAGTTAGCCCAGGAAGCAATAACAAAATACATAGGCTGGGTGGCTTACAGAACAGAAATTTATCTCTCATAGTTTTGGCAGCTGAAGTCCAAGATCAGATCTACCATGGCTGGGTTCTGGTGAGGGCCTTTTCTTGGCTTCCAGACATAGCTATCTCACTTTTTCTTCACATGGTGTCAGAAGGGAGACAGTACAAGCTCTGTGGCATCTCTTTTTACAAAGGCACTGATCTTTATGAATATCTAGTCTTATGAATGCACCTAAACCTATCTCCAACTTCTGTCACAGTAGGGATTAGGGTTTCATCATATAATTCTGGAGGGAGATAGTTCAGTCTATAGCAATCAGTGGACAACTGGTTTTTAACAAAGATGTCCAGATGATTCAGTGGGGGAAAGAATAGATTCTTGCAAAAAGTGGTGCTAGGATAACTTTGGGTAGCCACATACAAAAGAATAAAGTTGCATCTCTTCTTAAACCATACACAAAAAGTAACTCAAAACAGACCTAAATGTAAGAGCCAAAAGTATAAAATCATAAATTCTTAGGAAAAAATACAGAAATAAATCTCTGTGACCCTGGATTAGACAATGGCAAAAAAATAACCAATGAATGAATAAACAAAATGTGATATAGCCATCCACACAATCAAATATTATTCAAAAATGAAAAGAAATAAAATACAAAACAGGGGTTAACTTAAATTAGTTTCTCTCATTATTTAGCTGACAATTTTCCAAGTTTACCAAACACTTGAATCCCCTAAATTATTAAAAAGTTTAACTGATGATCTGTTTTCAAAATTCTGACTGCACACAAGCTGCTAGGGACTGAAAATTTGTGTACCCAATTCTATGTGGAAATCTTCAAAGTAGTGGTACTGAAAGTGGGGCATTTTTAAGATGATTAGGTCTTGAGGGATCCCCCTCATGAACAGGACTAGTGGCCTCAAAACGATGACCTGAGGGAGCCTGTACCGTGTAAGGACACATAGAAGGCACCAACTATGAGGAATCAGCCCTCACCAGATACCATACTCTGGTGTCTTTCTCCTGGACTTCCTAGCCTCCAGAACTGATAGTGACAACTTCCTGTTGTTTGTTAGTTACTCAATCTAGGGTATTTTATGGCAGAAGCCCAAATGGACACAAACCATGAGAATAAAATCAATTATGATCTCATTTTTTTATGAATGTACATAATTTATTTAAGCTTTGAATACCTATAATACAGTAGTCAATACATAGCATGGTTGTCAACAGAGGACTCCCCCTCCTAGTCTCCACCAAGAGGACACTTAGCAACATCTGGGGTTTTGATTGTGATGACTAAACATCCTAAAATGCACAGCACTGCCATAACAACAATAAAATTATCTGACCCAACACGTCAATAGTGGGACTATTTATTTATTTATTTAGATTTTTTTGAGGTAGGGTCTTGCTTTGTATTGCAGGCTCAACTTGAACTCACTATGTAACCTAGGTTGGCCTTGAACTTGTGGCGATCCTCCTGCCTCAGCCTTCGAACCACTGGGATTATAGGCATGTACCACCATGCCTGGCTAGTGCCACTGTTTAGAAACCCTGACATAGGATAACTCACTTGAATTACCAGAGAGCACAATATTCACTTCTTCTTTTTCGGGATCAGTTTTTTTTTGTTTTTTTTAGTGAATGGGTATTAAACTCAGGGCCTCTTGCATGCTAAGCATGTACTCTACTAATGAGCTATGATTCCAGCCCAGAATTAGTCTCTTTTTCTTTTTGTGATACTGGAGATTAAACCAAGACCACTGAGCTCCACTCTCAGCCTTTTTTGGTTTAAGACAGGGTCTCCTGGATAAAGAAAAATGTGGGTTTTTTTTTTTTTTTTTTTTTTTTTTTTTTTTTTAAAA